AACATGCCTCTCCTTGCTTCTTTACCCCCCACCCTTCATTCTCCTTCACTCTCTCTCCTCTCTCCTTCCCACCACTCCCATTAAGCCATGTCACCATTCCCAACCCAACTACCTAAAAATATTCCTAGAATATCTCTCCTAAGGCATCTCCTTTAAGCCACTAGAAATGTATCATGTTACCCCACTCCCCAATCAATTCTTAAAATCTCTCCTCCAATCTATATCCACTCTCTCAGTTAAAATATTCATATTAATTAATAAATAGTTAAATACTATTAATATTTAATCCAACCCATATTCAATGAGTATTAAATAGTGTTATTACCAAAAGTTAATAATATGATTAGTAAATTACAAAAAATTAATAAATATTTTTATTAATTAACTCATCATGAATTTTTAATGTATTTTGGGTAAATTCTGTTATATTCATGTTAATTAATAACATTTTGAACTCTTTAACTAATTTCTATAAGATTGAGAATTATATTTAACAATTACTAAAAGTATAAAATTTTAGTTATTGCTATTATTATAGTTAATAACCGAATGTAGATGGGGGAATAAAATATTATAATGTTGGAAAATGGAATTACTAATTAATTTATATTAGAAAATAAAAGATAAATTAGTATAATTTTGTTAGTAAACTACCTAGCAAAAATAAATATTTAATAACAATTTAAAATAATTTTTCAATAAATCTCCATAATTACACAAATATAATAAAATTTTCAAATTTCCATAAAACTACATTTTTGTAAAATAACATTCTGGAAATTAAAAGATATAAAATTTTTGAAAGTTTATTTACAATGTATTAAATAATTATTGAAAAATATTAGAATATTTTGGAAATTTTAGAAAAAATTATTACATTTGATAGATTTTGGAAAACTATTGAAAAATTATTTAATTTTCATTGTAAATTATTGAAAATTATTAAAGATAAATGACTATGGGAAATGGAAAATTGTAATTTGAACCAATAATTATACAAATTATTAAGATAAATTAGTATAATATTAGAAAAGGGAAATTATTGATTAGTTTATATTAGAAAAAATAAGATAAATTAGTATAATTCTGTAAGTAAACCATTTAAAAAGAAAATAAAATATTTAATGACAATTTAAAAATAAATTTGAATAAATTTTCAAAATTACACAAGTGTAATAAATTTTCATAAAATTACATTTTTGAAAATTAAACACAATTTAGTGTACTTTTAGAAATTTACCATGTGGTTGATACTCAATTTATCCTTTCAATAATTTTTATCATCAAATTGAATATTGTGTTGAGGGGACAGTGTTTTCAAAATTGGATCGAACCGGATGGTCAGATCGAAAAACTGGGAACCGATCACGTGACCGGATCTATTTCACCCCAAAACCGCTTTTTGGCCAAAAACCGTTGACTTGGTTAGCGGACTACTGACCTGGGCGGTCGAACCGTCAAACCGGAGAATAACTTTTAAAAACCTTGGACAGGCAGTGGGTGCCTTGCCTTGATCCCACTCGACACTAGGGATAGGGCAAGGAAAATTTGAGGATTCGCAATCCTGGATGAAGAGTGTGTGCCTTGCCTTGAACTCACACGACATTGAGGATGAGGAAGAGAAATTCAAGGATTCTTTGTTCCAAATGGGGAGTGGGTGTCTTGCCCCTGACACTAGGGACGAGGTGGGGATGGGGTAGAATGTCTTGACTATAGGGTGGGGATAGGGATGGGGTGCCCCGCCCCCTTGCCATTCCTATATAATTGTTAATTATTAGTGAAATTAATAAAAATGTTAGCTTTGTAGTTATCTTTATTTATTTAAAGTCAATCAAAATTTCATTTAAAAATAATGAAATTAACAAATTATTACTACAAATGATTATAGTTATTAAAATTACTATAAATTTTTAATAAAATTAAAATTATTAAAAATATTTGTTCATAATAAATTAACAATAATTATTTTCTGTAAATCAACACTAAATAAAAATACAATATTTAAAATTTAAATATTATATAACAATAACTTTGAATACTTTCAATTAATTAATAGAAAATTTTGATTATTAATTTATCAATTAATTAATAATAAATAAAATTATTCAACCATTCAGATTTTCCCGTGCATCGTAGGGTCCCCGCTAGTATATAATAATTTGGTCATTTTTAGTCTAATTTACTTATATTATTTAATATCTTATTATAATCCGGATTCGATTTGAATCCGCTAGATATTCGATAGATCTGATATGATTCAGATTCAAATGTTAATAAATCAAATTCAGATATGCCCATATCCGATTTGATTAGATCCATTTGTATCCCTATGATTAAGTAGGGTCTGTTCACTTGAGATGCAAACGGATCGGATCAGATTCAAATAAGGGTATATCCAATTCCAATCTGATACTATTAAGAGCATATCCAATCCGATCCAAAGATCTGATCGGATCTTACAAACACATATTTAAATTTGAATCCGATGAGAAGGTCGAATATTCGAATATGATTCGATTCGATTTTTAGTTTAAAAAAAATAAAATATAACAATTTAAATAAAGAAAAACAAAAAATTACAAGTATCTTTTCAACTATTTTCATCATATATAATTATATATACATGTTCTTTTATAAAAAATAAATAACAATATATATATATATGTATATAGATATATATATTAGTATTTGTGTACATGCTTTGCACATCATAAATTTTGTAATGATGATAGCATATAATATATTTCCATTTTTTGCAATTTTTTTTTTATATTTCTACATCTATAAAAATTATTCTTATTCATCGCATTTATTATGGTTCATCAACATAAAGATATGTCCAAATAAAATTCTTGCAATCATAATGAGAATTAATAAAATTCTTATTATTCTTATTTGGCATTAATAAAATTGTTGTTGTTTTTATTTGTTATGGTTCATTAATAAAATTAATATTTTTTACCAGTTACATTCGTCAGAATTTTATTTGAATTCTCGTTACCTTTGCAAGAATTAACTTCTATATGATAAATCCAACTTCAGCTCTTTCAACCGCTGAAAACCTTACAATGAATTGTTATAAAAAATATTACTTACTCATGTAGATATCTTGCCATCCAATGATGTGGGCTTTAAGGTAATGAAAATGAAAAATTAACCCACCACATAGTGGGAATAAAGAAGAGAAAACCATCTGTTACCATAATGATCAAGAACTGAACCAATAAAAATAGGTTAAAAATATTAAAAAAAAACATGAAAATAGATTAAAGAATAAATCGCTCATCGGTTTGCAAGTTGAAAATCATTTCATGGTAGTTAATGTGGCCTAACATGGCTTAATTTATCCAAAGAGGCTCAATCAATGCAGAAGGTTCCCTCGATGACTAGATAGGAATGAACTTGTAAACTGCTACCAGTAGTGTTGGCTCCAAATAGAATTTGGAAATATAGAAAATGAAAATTGAAAGTGATATCTTATAGCTATGTCTAGCTTGGCATGTGGACTTGGTCCTCACAGCCCCTTGCGGCCATGCATTGGGAATATCTCTCTATAAAAAAAAACAAATAAGAGATGTTCCCAATGCATGGTTGCAAAGGACTGTGAGGATGGTTCTGCGAAGACCAAATCCGATCTCCATTACACATGGAAGGAATAGGACATACAAGCAAGGATCAAAATTTTGTTATGTATCGACCCGAATCGGCTGATATGTATTGTATCAGATCCTTCCTGATACACTCCTACAGGGGGTGTTTCGGGTCGACGAATGGTTCAGAGGGTAGTCCGGCCTTAAACCAACTCCTCTTAACCAGTTTCGAAAAAATTAAAAAGAAGAAAAACATAGAAAGCAATACTGATACAGGCCGATACGTCCTATCGATATTTTGAACCTTGCATACAGGATCTTTTTTTTATCTCACATGGATATTGAAATCAAATATAAGATTTAAGGTACTGATATGTCGGGCAATGCAGCTGTAACAATTTTTCAACTTAAAAGACATGATACCAGAAAAACTTATAGCGAACCAACTGGTATCACAAAACTTACAGCGAACCAGCTGTAACAATTTTATCTCACATGGATATATATATATATATATATGTATATTTATATATCTCCGTTCAAATTCATACTCCTATATTAAACCTATTATTCTCATTAATATCTATTCAAATTTCTCTTAGTATTGATGGTTTTACCCGGCTTGGAATCTGAGAAATTTTTTAATGAAATTTGCCCATCAGGCATAAAAAAAATACATATAAAAAGAACCTACATTCACACATGAAAGTGCAAACTGCCTAAGTTTGGTCCTCGGCTGATTATATGCCCACCTCAGGGCCAATGGATAGGGGGACAGGCTACCCCTATTGTGTAGCCCCATGAAGAAAAAGGAAACCTTCTATTCAGACCATAATCTCTATGGCATAAAAATTGCAATAAGAAGATTTAAATCCATATCTTTGGCTTGAAAGGCAACAAACCCAGCACTACACCATAGGCTCTGAATTTTGAACAAAGTGAAGTCCTTAGTGCTGGGTTGTACCGAGTATAGTGCTTCACCTGAATCTTAAAAATTAATTGATTCTTAAAATATATATTTTTTAATATGAACAAGAATTATGCTGGTTTCATAAAATTAAGGTATAATTTTTTATTCTTTTATCATTTTTCAGTGTTTCCTAAATGCATTTCCATAGTTCTGTTCATAACTATCCAAGAACGTATTTCTTATGTTTATACATCTTGTTCATGGTAATCTAAAACTCAGATTTTGTGTTATTAATCAATTTTCTGGGATTTAATTAAGTTCCATACATAATAAAAACATATCCCATCTCTTAATATTGCTTTTTCACTCTTTGCATCTCCAATACTTTGAACTTTGAGGGCAACTAGGAGTGAAGCCGGTCTCCAACAAATAATTCTAATTGGAGAAGTTATAAATACATCCGAACAAAAAATTCAAGATACAGTGGTTTCTCCCAGATAGATTCGGAAATGATAGAGCTTCCATTTTTTCACTTCTATCCTATTACATATACCACCAGCTTAGTTATAATAAAAAAAGAGAGAATGCATATAACCTCCAACTAATTAACATAAATTGAATATCCATACAACAGGAAATCAATGTTATTAACAGAACCAATTTATTCTTGTGAACTAGCAAAATTGGATAAATCAAAATTGCCTTGTACATTAGAAAATCTCTGATCCCCATCAATAAATAAGATGTGATTCTGTAGCAAATATAGGGAAGGAAAATTATTGTTACATGCATTTCCATAAATATTTGAAGGGAGAGATATCTCAGTCCCAGCCTGAAGTATCAAAAGATAGCATATCTAATCCCAAAGGCTTTTCTTACCAGCCTGCAGCATAAATTATCTTTGGATCTTAGCTTGACCTTCAGAAACTATATTCTGGTCCACTCCAGACGCCTTTCTGCTAAATATCCCCCAACTCCCTGATTTTTCAACATCAGAGCCCAACAATTGGCCGTTCTCAACTTTTTGACATTGGCGGCCTTGGATTTAATGGAACTCCACTATTGGAATCAGCTGTGCTTCTCTCCATATCAAAATTCACTCCCACTACCGAACTCTTTTTGTCAAGAGCAGCAGCAGGTTTTGGAGCACTAAAAATGCCATAACTAGTTGAACTTGGAGTTCTATGAAGAAACTGATCCTGCCTTTGGTTTTGGGAACCATCTGCTCCCTCTAACTTTTGCCCTGTCGATGGTGAAGTACTTACAGGTGTTTGTGGCATTCTTCCTTGATTTTGAAACTGGAATCTTGGCCTTATAGAGCCTGTTGCACCCAGGCCCCTATTTTCATGGTTACCTTCACTTAACAGTTTACTCTCAGAAGCTGTACCTTCTGTTGATTTTCTTGGCTGGGGCTTTCTCCTAGGTTCACTTCTAAGGTATCTATTCTCACCCCGAGGTGAAGGTGTTGTTAAGGTGGGAGAAACTGACGATTCCACAGGCCTACCTACTGGTTTTGGGCTTAAAATATCTGCACTATTGTCTGCTAGAGAGTGCACACCCTCTTGTCCACAAGTCAAATTTTCTGAACTAACTCCATTGCCATTATCATCAAAGTCAAAGATGCCCTCAGAATCATCACTTGCATTAAAAGCTGACCAAGCCACTGTGTTTTCCATTGGAGCATCACTAGATATCTCAGCTTGGTCAGCAGAGATTTCTTCATCAGTTTCTAAACCAGATTCTGTAGTACTCCAATCTTCTTTTATCTGTAGAGTACTTTGAATGGGTTGGGAACTGTTGGTAAGAAGTGGTGATGTAGTGATTTTCTCAATGTCAATTTTTGCAGCTCTGGCAATATCTGCAGCCTTCTTGCTGGAGCCCTTTTTTGAGGTACCAAACTTGATATGCCTGACTATCACATATGCTTGCCTTTTCTCAACTATTGGTCCACTTTCCACAATTGAAATATCTTCTATCTGCAAAAGGATGTCACTGTTATGTTTGTGTAGATGTGAACTATACTGGTTCTTGCTAATGGAAATTGGAAAAACTGTAAAAATTATGTCTCTGAGTAACTAAAAAAGATGTTCAGAAAATCAGTGTGGCAGAAATGCAAATGCTAGGATGGATTTGTGGAAAAACTAGAAAGAATAGGATCAGAAATGAAACCATATGGAGAAACCTAGGAGTAGCTCCAATAAGTGATAAAATGAGAGTAGGCTAAGATACGGTCACGTGCATAGAAGGCCACCAACAGCTCCAGTTAGAAAAAAGTGATTTATTACAAGTGGAAGGGCTAGAAGAGCTAGGAGTAGACGAAAAAGGACATGGGTAATGATGAGGGCGGATTTGGCCCTCCAGTGAAATTGTGACACCTGGAACCTCATGCAAACCAAGTGCAGCCTCTTGACAACTGGGCAGCTCGGGAAGCTCGGGCAGCTCGGCAGAGCTTGCCACAGCTTGCCACTTACAGATAGCTCGGCATAGCCCTCTCCCAAACAGTTAGCCATCAGGGAGCTCAGCATAGATCTCCCCAGCTCGGCATAGCTCAGACAGCCTGGCGTCTTACGAAGAGCTCGCCACTTAGGGGCACCTTGGCACTTACAGATAGCTCGGCATAGGTAGCTCGGCACTTAGGGGCAGCTCGATGTATCGCAGGAAGATCTCCTGCCTGACAACCGTACCTGACAGATCTGGAGACTTGTGCCCACGTCTCTTGCTAGGCGGCGTCGTGCCTGCCAGTCCTGAGAGTTGTCCCTTGACTGGCAGAGCCGTACTCTGCAGCA